TACAAGCGTGAGCCACTGTGCCTGGCCCATTTGTTTCTTAGCCATTGAGTAGACATTTTTTTTTTTTTTTTTTTTTTAAATCATTCACATAGGCCAGGCACAGTGGCTTACAACTATAATCCCAGTGCTTTGGGAGGCCAAGACAGAAGGATTGCTTGAGCTCAGGAGTTAGAGACCAGCCTGAGCAACATAGCAAGACCCGGTCTCTATGAAAAACAAAAACAAGTGGGCTTGGTGGCTTATGTCTATAATCCCAGCACTTTGGGAGGCCGAGGTGGGCGGATACGAGGTCAAGAGTTCAAGACCAGCCTGGCCAACATAGTGAAACCCCGTCTCTACTAAAAATACAAAAAATTAGCTGGGTGTGGTAGCGGGTTCCTGTAATCCTAGCTACTCGGGAGGCTAAGGCAGGAGAATCAATTGAACCCGGAAAGCACTGGTTGCAGTGAGCTGAGATCTTGCCACTGCATACCAGCCTGGCAAGAGTGTGAGACTCCGTTGCCAAACAAACACATCCACATAAATGAAATTAAAAAATATTTTTGTTTCATTCTCAAATAACCATACTTTTTTTGGTTTGTTTTTAAAACAAAGTTCTCACTCTGTTACCCAGGTTGGAGTGCAGTAGCACAATCACAGCTCACTGCATCCTTAACCTATCAGGCTCAAGTGATCTGTTCTCCTCAGCCTCCCAAGTAGCTGGGACTATAGGTGCACACCATTGTGCCCGGCTAATTTTTTTATTTTTATTTTTAGTAGAGATGGGGTCTCATTATGTTGACCAGGCTAGTCTCAAACTCCTGGGCCCAAGCAATTCTCCCACCTTGGCCTCCTAAAATGCTGGGATTACAACCATGCCCAGCCAGTCATAATTACTTACTAATGGGATGTATATGCTGTTGGATATTACCCAACTCCTCAAACCTTAGAAATCAGATTGGATCCACCCTCATTTCTTGTTCCACACTGATTTTCACACAGTACTTACTTTTTGTTGAAAACCCAGCTTTGCAAAGATGTGATCATTGAAAGAAATCTAACATCTAATGTTGAAACTGGACTACCTTGAGCTAATAATGGTTCACATTATGTCCAGTAGATGTTAAGTATCACTGTGTTTTATTTGAATATGTAAAATGTCCTGTCGAACCTGTGAGTTTGCTGTAGGCAGCTTGATGTACAGTTTGGAAACCACAATTCTAGCAATGATCTCAACCTGTCAGATCAGGGTCTCTGGGAGTTGTGGTGTGAGTACTCTTTTTTGCTTCCCCGAGACATTTTTGTTGATTGTGGGAAATAACTGGCCTTTTATTTCTTTTTTTTTTTTTTTTTGAGATGGAGCCTCTCTCTGTTGCCCAGGCTGGAGTCCAGTGGCGCAATCTCAGCTGGCTGCAACCTCCACCTCCCGGGTTCCAGCAATTCTCCTGCCTCAGCCTCCCAAGTAGCTGGGATTATAGGTGTGTGATACCACGCCTGGCTAAATTTTTTTTTTTTTTTTTTTTTTTGAGACAGAGTTTCGCTCTTGTTACCCAGGCTGGAGTGCAATGGCGCGATCTCGGCTCACCGCAACCTCGCCTCCTGGGTTCAGGCAATTCTCCTGCCTCAGCCTCCTGAGTAGCGGGGATTACAGGCACGTGCCACCATGCCCAGCTAATTTTTTGTATTTTAGTAGAGACAGGGTTTCGCCATGTTGACCAGGATGGTCTCGATCTCTTGACCTTGCGATCCACCCGCCTCGGCCTCCCAAAGTGCTGGGATTACAGGCTTGAGCCACTGCGCCCGGCTAATTTTTGTATTTTTAATAGAGACCGGGTTTCAGCATGTTGGCCAGGCTGGTCTCAAACTCCTGACCTCAATCTGCCTGCCTCAGCTTTCCAAAGTGTTGGGATTACAGGCATGACTCACCTCACCAAGATGACATCTTATTTCTAATTTGTGTTTCATATTTGTTAATCATTGGTGGTCGATAACCACTGAGCCCCAACAAGTAATGCAGCCCCGTCAGACATTAAAATATTCATACTTTTTCTTTCACATAGGGAAATAATCTTCCAAATATATACACATAGCATTTACATTATATCATTATGGTTTTGATTTGCATTTCTCTGATGGCTAATATTGTTAAGCATCTGTTCATTTACTGATTGACCATTTATTTATCTTCTTGGAGAGATCTCTATTCAGATCCATTTGTCATTTTATTAATTGAGTTGTAAGAGTTCATTATATATTCTGGATAAAAGTTCCTCATGATTTGCAAATATTTTCTCCCATTCCTTTGGGCTGTCTTTTTACTTTCTGGATGGTATTATTTGCAGGACAAAAGTTTGTAATTTTGATGAAATCCAATTCATCTGTTTTTTCTTTTGTCATTTATGATTTTGGTATCATCTGTGAAACCACTACCTAATTCAAGATCATGAAGATTTATTTCTAAGACTTTCTTCTAAGAGTTTTATAGTTTTAGCTCTAATATTTAAAATGTCTCTAATTCATTTAAATTTAAATTTTTGTGTGGTAGAGATTTGAATGATTTTAAATTTTTTCTCTCTTCAGAGGTAGCAACACTAGAAAATAAAGATAAAAAATAGGCCAGGTGCAGTGTCTCATGCTGGTAATCCCAGCACTTTGGGAGGCCAAGGTGGGCAAATCACTTGAGGATAGGAGTTCCAGACCAGCCTGGCCAACATGGTGAAACCCTGTCTTCACTAAAAGTACAAAAATTAGCCAGGCATGGTGGCATGCATCTATAACTCCAGCTACTTGGGAGGCTGAGGCACAAGAATCACTTGAACCCAGGAGGTAGAGGTTGCAGTTGCAGTGAGCTGAGATCGCACCACTACACTCTAGCTTGGGCAACAGAGCGAGAGTCTGTGTCACCAAAAAAAGGGAACCTGGCCGGGCGCGGTGGCTCACACCTGTAATCCCAGCACTTTGGGAGGC